ATTTTTATGCTAGAACCCAGTAATACATACTGCCAAGCTTCGGGCCCCGGCGAAGTGGATCATCCTCAGCCCGCCGTGGAGGCTGATTTTTTCGACACTGGCACCAAAGATCCCTTCGTTGCCCACCTTGGCATTTAAATGGCCAAGCACGATTTTTATACGTGTCGGGGGCAGCGCTAATATGTACGCTCTAAGCTAAGAGAGCCTTGGATGCCTCGTCCTTCTCTTCCATCGGGACATTGGCACATGTGAATGAGATGTTGAAGAATCTCGCTTTTATGCGGATTGTGGCTAGACTTTCGTCCACTAGAGTGAACGCCGGTCTCTCTCCCACCACAAATCCAACACCGAATTGCACTCCTTTACGTGGCAACTGTAGTAGACGTCGCAAGGCTCACGCTTACCTTCCTCGCCCCGTCCATCGCATTTCGTGGATGGAGCTGATGTCAGCCTTTATTTTCCCTAGGACTTCAACCAGCCGGGCAGAGGCACCATCCCGATTAATCCCCAGCGCACGCGGGGGTTTACGCCCTCCCACTTTACCTCGCTCCCAAACTAGCGTTCGGTCGCTACCCAGAGTATTCATGGATATAAATATCCAGACGTAGTTAGCTGCGATTTGAACCGTAAGCACACGAATCACTTCTGGCCACTCCCAGGTGAATGGCAGTCAAAAGCTTTGCAGTACTGGGAAATGTACAAAACATAGTGGCCAAAAACGAATATCTCAACTAAACCCTGATGAATTTTTTTTTAAATTCGCTCTACATACCTGTATAATAAACCAAATAGCCGGACAAAACGTTAAATGATATACATACATATGTATGTATGTATAAGTATGAGGGCGTATTGAACATTTTGAGTACGCAGATTTTTTAGGCTGGTATATTTATTTATGCTAAATATATTACTTGATTTTGTTTTGTCACACTTTAGAAGTAAACGTCTTGGCTGTTCACCCAACTGCTTAGTAAAGACACAAACCTAAAGACAAAGTAATAAACAATTGAACTATAAATTTATTTATAGTTTCCGTTCAATCAATTTTTGCTCATTTTCGACTGCAGCCAGGTTTTTACCCTTTTAAAATGGAGGTGCTTTGAAGTTAGAGATAATAACTTGATACAGAACCGGATGATCCACATATCTACTTTTCAAATCAATTTACTAATTATTTAGTTAGCGTTGGGAGTATAATTTGTTATACAGTATATATATAGGAAAAACCTTGAAATTTAGAGGGGCCGAAATTATCAAGCAAGCATTTCTTGGTAGTATTTTTGAATATCTAGGCGAAAATTTGAAAGTTAGGGGGGGGAAGGCCCGGGCCCCCCCTGCCCCTACCTGCCCCTGCCTGGCTACGCCCATGTATGAATGTACATATGTAATAATATGCACATGTGTGTACAAATGTACATACAAATACGACAATACCCTGTAGGCAAACTCCGAACTGGTGAACCAAATTTATAGTTCCGTACTAGATCTTTATCGCCAAAAACGAACCAGCCCGATAGTAACTAGATCGCCACCACTTCATAAGCAGCGAGACGTGGTAATTTTAAAAACAATTTTATTTCTAGAAATTTATATCTAAAAGAACGAATTTAGAACTGGTTCGAAACTATTGAAAAAGGGATGCAGAACGAACTAGATCTCATTTGGCAAATTTTGAACTAGTATGGAACTACCGAAAAAGGGATGCAGCGGGTGGCTTGTTTACTTTAAATAGATTTTTGCTTGGTGGGTTCAAATCTGTACTTCGCAGATGCTTTTTCATAGTTTGGTAATACAAAACTAAAATTTGTGTTAACATTTTAACTCTTTTCGACCTTCTGGAATCTAACCAATAGTAGCAAACACTTCTGGAAATTCAGCTACAGCCATAGGTATCTAAACGTGTTTTCAAATGCCCAATTTGATATAGATTCGTTCAAACAAATGAAAACAAAAAGCGCTACCATGGAAAAAGCCAAATGAATGTTTGAAAACATCTAGTTACTTTTTTCGTCTGTCGATTTTATAACTGGTTCGGAACTATAGAAAACGGGATTCAAAGCGAATTAGATCCTATCTGTCGAATTTAGAATTGGCTCTGAACTATAGAAAAGGAAATGCAGTGGAGGACAATTTCCAATTCCTACGACATCACCGTGTTACATTCGCCAGTTTGCATGCAAAACAGATTTATCGCTAACTAGTAGTGGGTCTAAAGGTACTCGAAGCGCCAAAACCAATTCACAACTAGAGTTTTTCCGCACAGGGTATTGTCAATATCAAGTACGCTTGTGTGCGCGTAACCCGTACGAGCAATTATCAAGCCCCAATGTGTTAATGTGACGAAACTCTACACATAAGTGTTCGCGTCATTGGTTATGGTTGGGGATCTGGTGTGGCGCTAGTGTTTATATACTGCGTCTTCTACCGCCGTTTGTGGTGCTTTGCGTTTTCCCTTTTTTCATATCGGTGATGTTGTTTGGATAGTTATTGGTATGGGAGATGGGAATGGCAATGTCGCCACTTTATAAAGAGCCAATATAAAAACAATAATAATTCCATGACCATTCCCATTCATAGCCGAAATATCGAACGCGAGTACTTTGACGCGGCGTGCTTCGTCTTTCTGCGATAATCGGTAAAGTTCACCACATCAGCGTTTAGAGAACAGCTTTGCACACACTTGCCGCTGCTCAATTCAACTGATTGTGAGCACAATTCAAATACTGATCGGGTTCTTTGCAGTTTCATCTATGCCTGCCTACATACAAGCACTTGGTGTCCCACACTTCGTATTGGCCGTATATGCATATACATACATACTTATTTAGTGCATGCTGCTCCCTTGTTGACTTGTCCTATTCTACGTGTACGTATCCACATGTGTACATACATACATTCTTACATACATATATATACTAATAGTAGCTAGCATTGCTTGCTGTCAGTCTGTTGCTTCGCTACTTTTACTTTGCCGCTTTGACTTTGGGGCTTTTTGCTCTTTTGGCTTCGCCGCGTTTCGGTTTCAACTGCTGGTTGTTGATTGTTGGTTGTTGGCGCTTACGCGAGTATTATTGTCGCTTTTTTGTGCTGTTGGCGCAGCCACAAAAGTTGGTATGGCTTGGCCGCTTACTGTCGCTCCATGCTGCTACTTAGTGTGATGTGCGCTTACACACTCATATCTGTAGTAGCCAGAGCGGTGAGCCGCGCACATTTCAATTCCCTTAGTTATCTGAAAGCAGTCTGAGGAATCGGTTGCGGGCTCATCGTCACCGGATGATAGGCAATCGTCTATTTAAAATTGATCGGCCACAGTTGCGATTATTAGTTAGTGTTTAGTTTTCGCCTTCTTGCCACCACGGCTTAACTAATACGTCCACAATCAGTACGGGAAGAGGTGTGCACTTTTATACACATACTAAGAAGCTAGTGCATCGCGCAACAGTGGTACACGCAACGCATTACTCAATATTCGTTTCTTGATTCGTCAGTTTGCATTTTTGTTCCATTCTTTTAAATATTGCTGGGAATGCACACTTAAACATACACACATATGTACATATGCAGATACATATGTATGTATATGCATATATACTTGCGTATACACGAGCATGTTTTAAGAAAATAGAATTACAATCACATTTAGCGCACATAAAGGCAAAATTAAACGGACGGAAAAAAGTGAAATGTATTTAAATTTAGTGAGTCGAAACGAGCTGTGACTGCAAGAAGCAAAAAAAATGCAAAAGTAAAAACAAAGACAATTCTAAAATAGTAGTCGTAGTGAAAAACCCCTAAACAAAATCTGATAAAAGTTGAAGCAGCATTTGCGCGAGTTGTTGCCTACATATCTTCCAGTAAATACTAAATAAGTGCGTACACATATTACTCCCGTATTGAAACAGATCCATATCAATACATGTTTGTGTGAGAGGTTAGGTCGCCTGCATACCGTATACTTGCCTTCACCCAATCACATACAAGCATGCAAGTGCATACTTTGGCAAATGTAAAGTAAGGCAAACTGTCGTAGAAAGTGTCGCATACATTGTAAACAGCTGAACGCCTTTTCGCCTTAGTGCATAGCGCTAACACCACATCGCCCTTCATCGATCGACCGGTTATCGCCTTCCTGATCAATATTGAAAATAACCACCATTACTTCCGTAGATACCAACAGCTGAGTCTGCGTTAAACAACTAAATCGAGCCTAACAAAGATAATAACTAACTATCGTAAAAAAACAATAGCTGGTACGATAATAGCAACAGCAGCATTACATAGTTGTCATAATAATAACAAAGACGACAACAACGTCAGCAACGTCAACTGAAAGAACTGTGCATCGGCGGCAACGACTAATTTTGTGGAAGTCTGTCTTTTATTTATTTATTCAATACACTGCAGGTAAATGGAAATTATTATCGTAGTTTATAGGTATGTTCTATACATATGTATGTATGTATGTTTATTCTTACATGCATACAATGTCGCGCGCCCGCTGTGCGATCGATCGTTTAGAGCGTTTCGTCCGCATTGTCAATGTAATCAACTAAGAAACTGGTCATCTTGGGGACGGGATTTGAGGCACTAGCATGCGGTTCGCAAATAGCCTGGTTCAACTACAATTCCCTCCATTCTTGCTCACCCGCTATCGTGACTTATGTACGTGTGTATATGTATGTATCTGAGTATGTGCTCTTTTTGATTTTAAAATAAGTACATATGTATAGTGGAAAAATTTGCACGCTCGCACGCACACTACCACCACCAACACAATTGCATCAGCAACAACAACAAAAGTAGACATTAATAGGAATGTATATTGAGACACTACTACCACTCGAAAGAGTCCGCGCCAGACACTTAGCGAAAAGTGTTGGCGCTCGTTTTGGAGCTTGCCGTAGCACCGGTTACCGGCTAGCGGCTGGTGCATACTACATACATGAGCACTTGCGGCTATTACTGCGCGGCCGCATTTGCTGTTTAGCTGTTTAGTGGTCATTGGTGGTTGGCATAGGCATGAAGTAGCTGGTGTTGACTCTCCCAGCAGATAAGACCGGTCTGAGTGCGACGAGGTGGTGGTGGCTTCTTGATCTCTTAGTCTCTTGTTAGGTCAAAGCATAGGAAAGCGGTTTCTCTAGATGAAGCGGTTAAGGTAAGAAGCGAACCAAAAAAGCGATATTAGGCACGGTGCACATTAGAGCGATACGATAAGCGATGCGATATGCGATACGATACGCGGTGCGATATGAAATGCGAGCAGTGCACATTAGAGCGATGCGATACGCGATGCGACACGCGATACCATTTGCGGTGTGATAGCTACACAAACGCCTTTCTGTTAATACCATGAGTTCATCCGATGAAGACATTGCTGTAGCATATTGGTGACTACAGCAAAGAAAAAAAAGAGCTAATAATATGAAAAAGTACTCGGTGCACCCGTTTAATGTGAGGAACATAAAGCACAGTTCGGGAATTATTGCGTATGGTGTTATTGCATGCACCCACCCATCGTAGAATTATACCAGGTGAAGTAATATTAGAGTGAGAAGAGAGATTTTGACTCTGCTTTATTTGAAAATTGCCTTTAAAATTTGACTACAAGGCAGCCGAATGTCAGAAAAAAAAGCGAGAAAGCTGTTTTATTACTTCCCCAGTTTATTGCGGCATGGTTCCGTGCAAATATTTTATGGCTTTCCAGCTTAAGAAGCATACAGATAAAATTCATACAAAAGCGCTATGTCCAATTTGCCGAGCAGTTATTTAAGATGACGTTTTCCATATGTTTTGTTAGACTTTTCATAAGTAAAAATATTTTGTGAATATTACTCTCTTCATATGAGTTATATCACATTTTTCTTTTAATTGTATTTTTGGAATAAACAAAGTTATTTTACTTCTGTCATTAAACTGTTTTTGTTACAAATAGTTTAAATAAGCAATGGGAAATAAGGCAAAATTTGTTTTATTTCCAATCTTTGTTGAAAATAAAAGTGTGTTTGCATTGTTCAACTTTGCGTTCAACATTTGCGTTCAACTCAGCGCAGGGTTGCACGAAAAAAAGTTGAATGGGTAAAAATATCAAAATATGAAAAAATATCAAAATATTCGCCATAAAAAGGTGTTTGCACTGTTCAACTTTGCATTCAACTTTTGGTTGAACAGCGTTTCAACTAATCGCATCAGCAAAGTTGGTTGCCAGCCAACATTTAGCCATTCAACTTTTTTTTCGTGCAACCCTGCGTTGAGTTGAACGTAAATGTTGAACGCATAGTTGAACAATGCAAACACTGCTTTAAGCAAAACTCAGATTTTGGTATTTCCCATTTAAAAGTGAAATGAAACACATTTTGCATTATTGTCGTTTGTGTTACGTGAAAACAAAAGCAAATAAACCATGACAAAAAATATTCTACTATATTGTACTTACCTGTGTCCTTGACCTCGAACGCTAAAATTCTCCATGCCAAACTAGTCATGCCTGTTCTACAGTAGTTTTTTTTTATAGTTCCATAAGCATGGGGTTGTTTTTAATTAATGCGACTAAAAAAATGGAGGAAGATGCTTCCGCCTGTAAAACGGCCATGCTTATTGCGAAAAATACGGGAAATGCTAATCTCACCTCGTTCAGCAAACCGTGTCGCACATGCGATATTATACCGCAGCGGTGTCGCTGTCGAGCAAGTGTGCACAGTTTTCATCGCTTCCTACCAATTCCCACGTACTCGGCATGTCGATGTCGCATCCATATCATATCGCATCGCGTATCTTATCGCATATCGTATCGCTCTAATGTGCACTGTGCCTTAGGAATAAGGCGTACATATCGTCACCTGAACTGCAAAAAGACGTAACAACATCGTAAATGAAATGGAAAAAGTCGTCACTAATATTTTTATTATATTTTTCATAAAATGATGTGGGGAGTTTTAATTAGGGTGAAATCCATCATATAACTCAAAACGTAAATATTGATTTTTTTTTATTAGATATGACTTTTTGCATTTCAACGATGATATTTGTTACGTCTTTTTGCATTTAAGGTGACGATTAGGGTGGTCCTTAAATGTAGGTAGCAAATTTTTACATCAGATTTCCTAAAAGTTGGGTTATGCAAGACTTAGATTTGACTTTTCTTACCTAGAAACTTAGAAACGATTACTCAGCGTGTCACTTATTACCTTTTCTTTTTCTTTTGAATATCAGCACTTGTATTTGTACACCTAAATTGCAAACGTTTAATTTGTTTTTATACCAAAATGGATACAAAATTACCAGTAAAAAAATGTATTTACGCGCTTCAAATTGTGATTGTTTTTATTTTATTTTCTGTCTTTATTCGATAGTTTGTTTTTCGATTGCCAGAGGAATTACATTTATACAAAAAATTATATTTGTGTGGCATATTTGTAGGGGTTTTATTAAAAAATGAAATGGCAGCATGATTCTCTCACGGCTCTCTTTGCACTTAGAAATTTAACTTAGAAATAAAAAATCTATAGTTCTCCAAGTTTATAAGTGAAGTTGTTTTTTTTTTTGGGTAACTACATTCACGCGCTGCTCCTTTTCCAGCTTTACAATTTTCCAGATATACGGAATTCAAGTCAAGTATAAGTCTTGCCTATCTGAGCTTTAAGCCTCAACCCCTACGTCGATGCTACTATAGACGAAGATATCGCATAAAAATTTGGTTCCGATTGGAGACCTTTGAGGCGTGCCGTACAGGGGGCAAAGTTCAGATTCCTCTTTGGAGACTAGAAAAATTTAAATAAATTTAAATACATTTTTTTCCGTCTGATACCCAAAATCGATACTACTATAGTCGAACATATCACATATAAATTTTGGTCCGGATGGAAGTCGGTTAAGTTGTTTACCACAGGGGTCAAAGTTCAGATTACCCTATGAAGACGTCTTAACCGACTCCAATCGGAACTAAAATTTATATGTGATATCCTCGATTTTAATAGTATCGATTTTGGGCATTAAATGAAAAAAAAATATTTTTAATTTTTTGAGTCCTTAGAGTCTTTGACCCCTTTCGACTAGAATTTATATGTATGTGATATCTGTGACAGTGGTATTACCGATTGAGAGGGTGAGACCTAAAAAAATTCTTCATAATGTACATACATACATACACACATGCGTATGTGCAATATGAAAATACAACGATGAATGTACATATGTACATTAGACTGTGTCAAATAAAACGAATGTTTTTTTTTGCTTTCGGTCCCATATCAAAATTTCAGCCTCTATCCTAATTTTTCAGTTAACGTTCGCAAAAATAAAAATTTGCAATGAAGAAAATGTTGTTCCGCAACTTTTTGTTTTATAAACAATTTATTGTAACAAATAAAAGAAAAACCTGAATGCAGTTTTGTAGGGAATTAAATTTTCTACAAAGATAGTCATACATCATATTTAAAAAACAAACTCCGTGTTTTTTAGAGCTAATAAAAGTGATTTTTTTCTAAAATTTATATTTTGATTAACTTTTAAAAACTAATTAAATAACTTCTTGAGAAGAAAAACTTTTATAGTTAATTACTTTATGAAATTTTATGATTTAAACAAAGTGGTTTTCATACTTTCATTGATCCCCATATCGTATTTTAACAGTAAGATAAATATGGTTTTACTTAGAATAACAATCAAGATAAAGAAATTGAATGTCATTATTTTTAATTTTTAAGTTTTGTTGGCTTAAAAATTTTTAAGAATTTATCAATATAATATTGCAAACATGGTAATTTCACATGCACATTTCACTAGCATTTTGTATATTAAAGTTAACCTCAGTGATGGAAGTCTTTCATTATAAAATTTGAGGTTGTATTGTGATTAATCACACATTCCCCGTGGTCGGTGGGGGAATCGATGAAACCAAGTTTTTCTGAAAGTCTGGATTGTATATAGAAAAGTAATTTCTTAAATTTCCCTGCTTGGCGATTTTAACCGTTTTTTTTCTTAGTTGAAGTTGGTGGTCGCAGAGCCGGATTTAAATCAATGAAAAGTGATTAAAATGCACATATTTATACAATCGAAAGACCTTTTTTGGGATCTTGGGCCCGAAGAATCTAAATTCGCAGTTTATTTTTGGGAAAAAGGACCACTAGGGTGCGTTTAAGGGCCGGTTGTTCATTCTCTGGTTATCACCAGTACATCATTATCGACGCTTTCGACATCATGCATATAACATGTGATCGATAAAGCTGTAGTTGTATTTAACCGGAGCTTCTACGTCCGATTTGTGCTAATCAGACATTGAACAACCGGCCCTTAATGTAAAAAACATGGAACGAACATGAAGGAAAAGTGGAAACCATGTTTCTTCTTGTTTATTTGGTCACCGGTGACATCGTCACTAATGAGGATTTAGTGGCATAGTCGCACTTGCTGTGAATCCTAAACGAAATATAGCATATGTCATGCAGGTATACTCCTATCAAAGACTTATAACAGACAATGTCTTGCAGCGACCACGTATAAAAAGTCCATTTTAAGATACTGTCGCTTGGATAGCATCAATGATCACTGCATGACAAAGTCATGCAGATGACATCAACGACAAAATTACCATTTATGTGAAAAAGTCATGAACGACTTCCAAAGCCATTTAAGTGTAACTTTTCCGTACAAGACACTTAAGTGACTAATGCATGACATTCGCTACGGGGCACATGCTCTGCTCACGCACACGTCAGACGCATATTCAACTTGGACTCATTGCTCATACACACGTGTGTGCGTTAGTCGAAAACAAGCTCTGCTCACAGCAAAGTGTGTCACGGATGACGTGATATGAAACTCCCCCATTTGTTCATGTTGTTTGTTTTTTAAATGACAGAAAACATATTAGACAAGTAAGGAAGTCTAAGTTCCAAAATCCCAAATAATAGCCGTTATCGATTCGCCACTTCTCGCTCGCTATGTTTGAGTTCCGGTCGATTAACGAAGAATTTTGCATGTGAAAGCAACAACAAAGTTAGCTAGCACTGATAGACGAAAGCGAGTTTGGTTGTACCTCATTGAGTTCGTTCGTTTCGACAATCGCTAACTGTTGGCGAATCGATGACGGCTAATGTTACTTCTTTTCAAGGGATTGTTATTAGTGTAAATTTTGAGGAAATTAGCGTCCTTAAATTTCGAAATATCGAATTACAAGCATTTCTGAAATTTACCGTTGTATGAAATGTGACCGTAATTTTAGTCCAATTTCAACAATTTTAACCCATATCATCCTAGTGTTCCATTTTTGGATAGGTTGCTATTACGATTTAATTTTATTTTTATGCGAATGTCATCGTAATTCTTTTTGTGTAGTGACAACTTTGAAGGAGTCGGTTTTTAAATTCCAGTATTAAAATTTTGGTGTGGCAGTTAGTTTGTGTTTTAATTCGTGCTGTTTGCAGAAATTTTTGGCAAGAAAATGTTTCGTCGCAAAATGTAAGTAATTTTTATTTATAGCTATGATAGTACACATTATTATTCTTAATTTTTATAAGTCGTAAGTTTATTTATAATATCATTGCACAACAAAACAGAAATTTAACTTGCTAGTGTATTTTTTTGTTCTTCTATATATACCGTTCCACTATTGGAACAGTAGGATAATATACCAATGTAAGATGTATGCAGAAGTGGACTTAGTTTTGTTCAGTTATTTATTTGGTTTTGTTTTAGATTGTCCTTAAATGAAATTATTTCACAACTAGAAGAAGATGACGATGTATTGTCCGCAGATATATACATAACGCCCCCGGAAAACAACGATAAGAGCGACGAAGATAGCGGCGATGAGGAATCTGCTAATATAAACAATTTGTCAAGACGCCAGCTATTAGCGGAAGCTGAATTTCGAGCGACAGTATCATCTCATAATGAATTAGGCACAGTTGAAGACCTTCTGAATGACTCAGTCGTAGATGAAACTAATGAAACACCCAGGACATCCGCAACGTTAGCTCCTCCATTAAAAAAAAGATGCCTAACTAAAAGAAAGTGGACGCACACAGATATTCCAGAGAAACTAGAAAAGGTCTCAGAGCCACCTAATTTTCTAGAGGATCTTGACAATCCTTTACAGTTTTTCGAACTTTTTTTTGATACAGAAGTTTTTGAACTCATTCGCTCTGAAACTGAAAAAAATGCCATTCAGAAGGGAAATCATAATTTTAGAGTTACCACTGAAGAAATAAAGCGTTTTATTGGCATTCTATTGCTATCGGGTTATAACCATGTTGCCAGATACCGAATGTACTGGGAGCAAAGCGTCGATTGCAATTTTCATGGTGTAGCTTCTGCTATGTCTCGAAATAGATTTGAGGAACTGTTGCGATATTTTCACGTTTCTGACAATAATAATCTGGATAAAGAAGATAAGTTTTCCAAGGTTCGTCCTTTATGGGATCTATGTAACGAAAGATGGGTGAAATATTTTCCCGGCGATAAAAACTTGAGCATTGACGAGTCAATGATCCCATATTATGGAAAGCATGGAGCAAAGCAACATATTCAAGGAAAGCCAATTCGATTCGGTTATAAAAACTGGTCTATATGCACTCGACTTGGTTATTTGATTTACGGAGAGCTTTATCAAGGAGCGAAGACGGGAAATACCCGCCCAGAACTAGGTGTTGGTGCTTCTGTAGTTTTAGATCTTATATCAAAACTTCCGCCTGGATCTTACAGTTTTTATATGGATAATTATTTTACTTCTTTACCTCTGTTGGATGAAATAATTAAATTAGGACACGATGCGACAGGAACAATTAGAGCAAATAGAGTAGAAAAAGCGCCATTAAAAGACCCAAAAACCATGAAGAGGACGATAAGAGGATCTTACAATCAATGCACAGATACTTTGTCGAATATTACCCTCGTTCGATATAATGACAATAATATTGTTACTGTAGCGTCGACACAATCCGGCGTGGAGCCTATTGGAAAAGTCAAGCGTTATTGTGAGAAGCAAAAAAAGGATATTGATCAACCTCGATGTATCATAAATTACAATAAGTACATGGGCGGCGTGGATCGTTTGGACCAAAATGTGGGATGCTACCGGATTTCTATACGTTTGAAAAGATGGTATTGGCAACTACTAATGTTTCCAATAAATGTTTGTGTCAACAACGCTTACCAATTATACAGGTTGTCCCCAGTTGCGCAGAATGAGTCCCATGATTTCTTGTCTTTCACAAGATATATTGTAACATCGTATCTTTTGACAAAAACTATACCAGTAACCTCACCCTCGACTACGAAAAATTTGTTGCCAAGATCTTCCCTGGCGGTCATCAAACGAGTTCCAACTAGTATAACACTAGATGGTAAGGCACATCACATAATAAAAAATAACAAACAAAGCCGCTGTGGTATGTGCCATAAAAATACTACCATGAAATGCGAAAAATGCAACGTTGCTTTACACCAAAAATGTTCTCCAGTTTTTCATACAAAGTAAAGTATTTTTATCTTATCCTATACATATGTAACTTTTTTATATAAATTATAAGATATGTATGTGTTACTATAAGTACTTTTTTATTAAATAAATAACCAATAAACACAAGAATATTTTATTTTATATCATCTGAAACTACATGCACAATACAGTTATCACAGAGGCATATCTTCCTATTGTTCCATTTTTGGAACGGTACTAAAAACGAAAAACTGAATAAAATTGTTTTGTTTCCAATATATGCTCTTGTTCAGGAGGGTACTAACGTGAATTTCTATGAGTCTTACGCGAATCCGAGGAATTTAAACATACTTGGGATGATATGGGTTAAACTCTTTGCTAGTGATAGAACGATACGAGTACCGGTACAGAATATCGATACTTTTCATGAGTACTGAGTAGTATCGAGAACTCTATACTTTTTCACAAATACTGGGTAAATATCGCGAATGCCGAAAAGTATCGACGAGTTAAGAACTTTTTTAAATATTTTTTTTTTTTTTTAATTACTCTATAAATATTATGGCGAACGTTCGAATATTAACTTCAAAATCCAATATGAATGTTATGAAAATGAACATAAAGCTCATTTACTTCAATGCTGTCATAACTCAAAAAACCGAAAACACGGGAAACACGTGTTTAAAGCATCGTACAGTTTCATAAGTAAAAACACTATCAGCTGATTGCCAAAAAATGCCTACAGCTGAGATCACCTGTTTTTTGGCATGTGCTCTTATCTTTTACAATTTCTTTAATTTCTTTTACAATTTCTTTTATTTCTATTACAATTTATTCAAAATGCACTAACACACTGAACCAAAACACTAATACACTAATCAAAAACACACCTACAGCCTGCCAAACATACATCTACTGCCTGCCAGAAAAAAACGGTAAGAAGAAGAGTTACTTTACTTATGGAACTGTACGATGGTTTAAAGTTTTTAATTCACATATCGTCACCCTCATGCCAGAAGCATGAATGTGCAAATTTATCAGCTTTGAGTTATTGGGTTGAATTACTCTTTGGATTTTCTATGTTATACCCACGGTGGATGGAATACAGAAGGTGGCGCCGATCGCAACACCGCTAATCTGCTCTCAGTGAATTTGAAAAAATCAGCTGTTTTGCTGACGTCACAGTCGAGATTTATTTATTTAGTCTACAGAAAAATGTAGATATTTACGTATGTATGATACATTACAGATGAACTAATTATACATATTAACTTGTAAAGATAATAATGATATACATACAATAGCAGTTTGGGTAGCTGGCGAGGCCTAATCTCCAGTCTACTTTTGTGTGCGGCGGGCGGAAAGACCTAGTTTCCGCTCCGTGCTGTTTACAGGCCGTTGATCATGGTCCGCGCTATAGACGAACTGTTGGGTGAGGTCGGAAAGGCCGAGTTTCCGATCCATGCTCGTATTGTCCTACGCGGTCGCGAAAATATACGAAGCCGTTACAATTGTACTAAGCAGTCATAGATATTGTGTAATTTTTTCGTTCACGGTTACAGATATTAGTTTATTTAGTTAACTTGTTGAGCAAAGTTTTCTTTATTACAAAAAGCGATTCAGATGTGTCGAAGCAATCATAATGCTTGTTAAAATCTTTGCATAAGCACCGAAAAGCATCATGCATTTCAAAGCTTGATTTACAAATACTCAACACAATAGGTTTAAAATGTCTCGCGGGTCTTGTAAGAATACAAAAATTTATCTCACTCAGTAAAAAGGGACTACTGACCATTCCGTTCATTAATTTAATTAAAAAAAGAACACCAAGCATCTCTCTACGACTCTGAAGCGTCGGAAAAT